AAAAAAATTAATACATAGCTTTGAAAAAAATTCTATTTTGCTTTGCTTGTTTGTTTTTCGGTACTCCCTTGTATTTAGGGGCAGCTTAGGTCTCTCCATACAGGAGCTATCTTGGGGTAAAGCCAGTGTTCATGCGTTTCTCAGATGTTTACGATTGAAATGTTCTCTGCCTTAGGAGGTAGATATTAATACACAAATATATTTAAACATTTTTTGGTCTTGGTATTTTCATTTTGGGGCAAAGCCAGTGCTCATGTTTCTCAGATGTTTACGATTAAAATGTTCTCTGCCTTAGGAGCTTGATACTAATACACAAGTATATTTAAACATTTTTTGGTCTTGTTATTTTCATTTAAAATCATCCGCTGAGTTTAATTCCTTCCCACAGCAAGAGTAGATAGCAGTAATTCATGGAAGAGTTCTCATATGATGGGAGGAAGAGGACTAAAGGTTCCACTTTGTCTAGGGCAGGATGCATCCCTAAGTGGCCCCCACACAGCTGCTTTTTAACTCAGCCTCCTGTCAAGAAAAGCTCTTTAATTAGATTGATAAGGGTCTGGTTGTTCCTGCTGTTGTTAGGTAGCATTCAGCTGGCTCTGACTCATAGCAATCACGTGTACAGCACAATGAAATACTGCCTGATCTTGCACCATCCTCACGATTATTATGTTTGAGCCCATTGTGCCAGCCACTGATCCAATTCATCTCCCTGAGGGTCTTCCTCTTTTCACTCACCCTCTACTTTGCCAGAATGACGTCCTTATCCAGAGACTGGTCTCTCCTGGTAGCATGTCTAAAGTGTGTGAGACTAAGTCTCTCCATCCTTGTTTCTAAGGAAAACTATACTATACTTCTTCCAAGACAGATTTGTTTTTCTGGCAGTCCATGGTATTTTCCACATACTTCACCAACACCAAAACTCAAATGCATCAGTTCTTCTTCAGTCTTCTGTATCCATTGTCTAACTTTCATATGCAATTGAGGCGATTGAACTGACCATGTCTAGGACCAGGTACACCTTAATGTCTTCTTTCTCCTTTAACGCTTTGAGGAGGTCTTGTGCAGCAGAGCTGCTCAATGCAATACATCATTTGCAGTTGATGCTTTTGCATAGTCAGCAAAATGCCACTCACTGGATTTCTTGACTGTTGCTTCCATGCGTGTTGACTGTGGATTCAAGTAAAATCAGGTCCTTGACAACTTCAGTCTTTTCTCTGTTTATCATGCGGTTGTCTATAGTTCCAGTTGGAGGATTTTGGTTTTCTTTACATTGAATTGCAATCCATACTGACGCTGCAGCCTTTGATCCTCATCAACAAGTCCTCCTGGCTTTCAGCAAGCAAAACTGTCATCTGCATATTGCAGGTTGTTGGTGAGCCTTCCTTCAACCCTGATGCACATTCTTCTTCCTCTGCAGATTGAGTATGTATAGTAAAAGGACACAACCCTTCCCTGATGTTAAACCATGGAAAATCCCCTTCTGTTCAAATGGCATCCTCTTGCTCTATGAACAGGTTTCATATGAGGACAATTAAGAGTTCTGGAATTCCCATTCTTCACGACATTATCCATTGTTTATTATGGATATTTGAAAGACAACTATCTGACCATATGGCTGGAAGAGATTCATATATGTGCCCACTCCACACAAAAAAGTGATACAACGGAATGTGAAAATTATCAATCTATATCAAATACAGTTTATTATGATTCACACAGTCAAATGCCTTTGCGTGGTCAAACATCTTTGCACAAGTAAATATCTT